TCACTAATTAATTCAAGAATGAAATGGAAGTATGCAGTGTTTATTGTTATGTTTATTCTTGATTGATTGGTTGGAGTCATCACATGTTAAATTGATAAACCACGTAAAGTATAAGAGGATACGCACCAAAACTCTTTGAATGTATATACCTAGAGTATGAACATATGGGGGGAGTTATGGGGTTTTATATTTAACCACAGCTTCTATAGGGGTACAGGACGCTGTAATTTCTTTAATTATTATTATGCGCTGGAATTCCGCCACAAGGTGACATTAGTTGGTACTCGCTTGGTTAGCTCCCAAGTGAGGGGTCCCTTATTATTAAGGGATAGTTAAGGAAGGAAACTCGTTCGATGCGTAATCCAAAGCTATTTATTAATAATTAATATTGCTAGTTATGAATCAAAGGTAAGTTGACTTGTATTGTATAGCGAACATGTTTTAATTATTATTTCTAGGATGATCATGTTAGTTTGTTAGTTCTATAAAGTGCATATGCACTCATCTTTTGTTGATTCGCACTTTTGTGTTTGTGTTTGGCAATCCTTTGGATTGACCCTACTATGACCCATTTATATGGTGAGTAGAGGGGTTGAAATGAAGAAAAAGTGTTAGGTACTTGAAGCATGAAGAGTATGAAGGGAATGAGTGCAGAGAGTTATCTGTTATGCTTTCTTAAGTTTTATATTTTGAATTGTTGATTTATTATTCATGGAATAGCATTACTATGCTTTACTTTAAATTGGTTTTGAAAGGGCCATGTTTGTATTGGTTCCAACTTGTGGATGTTCTAATTTACTTACGTTTTTGAGGTTGTGAACTCAAGTCATTTATTTTTTAAAAGTTGGTTTTTAAGTTAGACTTCCGCTATGAGACTTTGAAAATAGCCTTAGCCGTTATCACGGTGGCGTTAATATTTTGGTTATTTCCTAAAATGAGTTTTATTTAAAGTAAAAAGAATATTTTAAAAGAAGGAAATTTTCCAGGGTATTACATAACATCATCTTCATCAATGCCTTCAAGGACCTCAAGTTGGACAGAAAGGACCTCAAAAGGGTGAGTTATGAAGTCACTGGGTTCAATGGATCGGGTTTGATCCTAGAAGGCATCATGGAGCTATCAATTAGGGTAGGAGAAGGATCCAGACGTCGAGACGTTAGAGCTGAATTCTTAGTGCGTGGTAGATTCACCCTCACCCTACAATGTGATAATGGGCAGACCACTGATACACAAGATAGGTGGAGTGGTGTCCACCTATCACTTGGAAATGGCTTATACAGCTAATAATGGAAGGTCCGCCAAGTTGAGAGGGAGTAAAAAAAATAGCAAAACACTGCTAAATTGCTGCTCTCAAACAACCAGCAAAGGCTAGAATACAGTCAGGCTCAGAAGTGAAAAAAGAAGCCCAAGCAGAAAAGCAATCCTGAAAGAGAAAAAGGGAGGAATACTGTAGTGAGAACGAGAAACAAAAGCTGGCCATGGAAAACTTTGAGCCTGCAAAGGAGGAAGCAGCTAGACCAATCCCCTGTTGATGATTTAGAGTGTCGGAGTGGTGCACCCGCGCCACTGTTCAGCGCGCCCACGCAAGGTCGGCGCCGCCCGCGATTAAAGCGCGTCAAAATCGCGCCAAGTCTCTGGAAACTTGCAAAATTTTGTCAGAATTTGGGAGGCACGCCCGCGCGGCTTGGTGGCGCGCCCGCGCCTCTTTGAGTCGTGCCCGCGCTGCTTCCCTTGTCTGCGGTTTTTGCTGTTGTTTCCTTTTTTTTTTAAAGGAGTTTTCATTTTGAGTGGGACAGATAGTTTTTCTCTCCTCTCTAATATTCTCCCTTATCTACAATTTACTTGAAGAAACTGGCAATCTCTTCATCTAAATCTCTATCAATTAAGTTTGTTTTTGAGAATTTGATCATCTTACTACAATTCTTAGTGCTAAGATTGTAGTGTTCGTCTATTGTATCTCAAAGCGAATTTCCAGTTCAACCCAAGCACCGTTGTGGGGGAAATAATCGCTTTAGGAAAGTGTTTACACGCCTTAAACGAGTATCAAGTATTGAAGACTCACGTGATCCTTGGTATTCTCATGTTCTAGTTGGCTTCATTGGCTTGGAGTGAGGCAAGTGTATTTCTTTCATACTTGTAGTTTAGTTTGATTTTTTCTGTAATTTTCATTCTAGACTTGTTTTGCTTGGTTTGTATAATTTATACATTTATTGTAATTTTTCTTATTTTCCCTCATTTCCGTTGTTCTAGAGTTTGTACAAGTAGGAGTTTTTCCTAACATCCCCAACGGTGAGCATGAGGAGATTGAGCCCACCTAAGGAGATAGTTCCAGTTTGGTGAAAATTGGCAAAGACATCGAGCCCGAAGTACGAGTGAACCTCATAGAATTGCTACGAAAGAACAAAAGCATCTTCGCCTTCTCAGCAGATGAGATGCCTGAAATTGATCCAGCGGTTATTGTTCATAAGATGAATATGAAGGAAGAAGTGAAACCAATCAAGCAGAAAAAGAAAAGTTTCTTAGCAGAGAAGAATCAAGCTATACAAGAAGAAGTGGACAAGTTGTTGGATGCCAAGTTTATTGAGCCGTGTGACTACCCAGAGTGGCTAGCAAACGTGGTCATGGTGAAGAAAGACAATGGGCAATGGAGGATGTGCGTTAATTTCACATATCTCAACATGGGATTTCTCTCCTCTATTAAAGCTAATTCTTGATGTAAGATGTTCTCTATTGAAGCGTCTTCTTATCTTTCTCTCCTCCATTGAACTAACTTTTGAGGTACGTTGTTTCCATCCTCTACTAAATCTAGCCTCAAAGGTTGTGGCGGAGCCAGCGTGGGACAAGGAGGGATAGCTATTCCCACACTTTAAAAAAAAAATTTTAAATGTAAAGATTAGTGCATAATGATTTATATTGAATAAGACGGTGCAGCGGTTAAAGTCTGGCTTGTAGAGGCTTGTGGACGCATGATCAAACCCTTGCGAGTTCTTAAATTTGCAAAATTATTAAAGCAATTAATCGTTGCCTTCTCGGTGAGTGAGATGACCTTGCACTCAAGGGATTGGAGTTCGATCCTCATTGTAGTGATTTTACTAATTTATTCTATTTTTTAATGTATAATATAGTATTCCTTCCATTATTTCATTTTTATTTGTCAAAATAAGCAATGTTCGTCTGTCGACTCGGTTTGAAATTCCTAGCTCTGTCAAACCCACCGGACTTACTTCATTCACCGAACCCACTTGATCTGCCAAACTCACCGGGCCAACTACATTCACTAGACCCACTATACCTACCAAACCATAGCACAACCCCTCGACCCACATGACCCACTGACCCACCCTAACACAACTCGACCCACCAAAACCCATGACCTAAACCATGGACACACCCTTAACGTGTTGACCTTCTCCAACTCAACATACCCTGGCGTGCCCCCATGCCATCCTACGTCACCTCAACCCTACCCACGATCCATGCATGACGCACTTGCCCTAACTCAACGAGTCCGCACGATAGGACACATCTATTTGAAGGGAACTCAAAATAAAATTAGGACACCAATAAGACTTATAAATTCATGTAAGGAAATGGAAGGTTGTACTACTTGAATTTTACTCCCTTCGTACTTTATTACTTGCTCCATTCCTCCATGCGCAGAGTTTTAGGAGAAATAGTGTAAAGTATAAAATATAAAGGAAGTGGGGTTATGTTGGTAAAGGAATAAAGTATTATAGTTGGGAGGAATGAGAATCTTTTTTTTTTTTTTTTTTTTTTTTTTTTTTTTTTTTTTGGAAGGGAAGATCAATTCACTAATTCTGTAGAACTACGATCGCGAGTGAGATTTGACATTGATGAATACCCTCGTCTCTTGAATCGCTGTCCTCTGCAGCCTTCTTCTACAAGGGGGCCTTGCGATTTTTGATAGTTTATGAATTAAACAAAACCTGATTCAATTAATTGTAGTCATTGATTTGACAACTGATTCAACGTCGCACGAACCACCACCAAAAAATTAGAACTTCCGATGACAAAAGATAAATCATCTACACTGATCAAGACCATCGTAAGGATGAGATCTATTATTATAAGCGATTAAAAAGGGATTTTAGGGCTTACCATTGATCAAGGAACCAGTGGGTAGCCCCTACCAATAATCACAATGGAGATCGAGGAGAGAAGGATGAAGGAGGAAAAAGGGAGAATGGGAGAAGATTAAAGGAAAACTCTAAAAAAAACTGAAAAAAACCCTAGCAAAAACACCCTCTCAAGGAGAAACCTAGAGGGAAAACCCTAGCAGGAATGAGAATCTAATAAAATTAAGGTATGATAGTTGGGAGGTCTACTAAGGGAGAAGAAATTAATAAAATATTGTGAAAGGTTTCCCAAAAAGAATATAAAGCAAATAATAAAATATAACCACACAAAAAAAAGTGAAACTAGTAATAAAATATGGAGGGAGTACGAGAAATAATCACTACTCCGTATAATTTACTATAAAACAATCACTAGAATTCTATGGGAAACAATCACTATAATTGCATTGTGCTTTCTTATCCACCATACAAAACATTACTTGACTTCTTATTTCTTCCATCATTGGTAGAATTGATTTTTGTATAGGTTCAGTGATTCATATTTTTTGAACTTAATTCTGTTAACCATGTAAGACATTATTTTGTCAAAACTATTTTTATTTGAACTATACGGAGTACTTCTCAATCGAATTAATAGGAAGTATGAATTAATCTTCTATACGAGATAATAAAATGAACAAATCGTCGCACAATTTTAGTCCCCAAACTACCCACAACCACCACCAACCACGCGCGAGAGTAAGCGCGTCATACACAACCTCAGCCGCGTTTTATAATTTTCTCTCTCCTCCTCTCATTCCGCGAAACAGCACGTGTCAACGAACAACCACTAACCTGTAAAAACATTCCACGCGTCAAAATCCTAGAGGATATTCCGAGTTACCAAAAAGATTAAATCCTGACCGTCCATCAAAGTCAGACCGCCTTCTCCACCTGACTTCGGAAGACGTTAACCCCCTCAAGTCTCCTTTTCTCTCACTCATCCTTCCTTTATTCTAGAGAGAGAAACTAATCTTTCTAGAGAGAGAAAAACAAACTCAAGAACAATTTCTACCCTTAAGGTAATTATTACTTGATTAATTTTACTTAATCATCAATTAAATTATTATTTGATTAATTTCGTTAATCATTAGTTAAACTGTTTGTTTTTGTAATTTTGATGTTTTAATTAATTCTGTTCTTTGGTTGACTTGTAATTTTTTTTTTTTTTTTTTTTTTTTTTTTGCTGAATTTAAATATTGTTTAAGCTCGTGAATTTTTAATTTTTGATGATGTTGTTACTTGTTAGTATTTTGATGAATGAATTAGTTGAAGTATATTGTATTCTTTTGGTTTTTTTAAAAATTAATTTTATGGGTTTAGTTCTTGTTTATCGGATGTTAATTTTGGGTTTTCTTGTTGATTTTTGGTGTTTTGAGTAATTATTAAGAATCAATTTTTATTCAATAAGTTGATTTGATATTAATTAAAGTTGGGTTTTGTGGGTTTGGGGTTTTAGTTTTCGTCAATCGGATATTAATATGAGGGGTTTCTTGTTTTTTTTTGGCCATATTTGGTGTTTTAAGCTGTATTCCTGATTGAATCAACTCAAACGAGTGATTTTTTTGGTTATATTCAGTTTGTTAAGCAAGAGAAATATAGTTTGATTTCGCTAGTTATTTAATTTCTTTCGAATTTGCGATTGGGTTGCCTTGATTTTTACTCGATCTTCAATCTTTATTTGAAGTTTGATCTGAATTCTTATGCTTTTTAAAGGATAGTTTTGTTGCTTCTTTCTCCCCCTTTGTGTGGTTTAGGCACCTTCTTAATGTATGAGCGTGCTTGTGTTATTGCCTCACTTAGTATTCTCAATCTGATTTAAGACTACTTGGCGTAAGTCTAGTTGTCCTGCTCATCTTTCCTTTTCTAGTTCTGATCAAATTATTTCTGTTTAGGAATTGAGTTTTGGTGGGCTAGTATGAGCTGAGGATTTTGTATATGCATAGTTCATAGACTCATTTGTATGAATATTTACTGTAGAATGTAGTTTGAGTTAAGTGACTTTGCTTAAGTAGGTGTAAACACTTATTACAATATTAATACATTATCAAGTGAAGGTGGTGGGAGTTAAGCTCATTTTAGGCTTGTGAGTTATAATCCCGTGCAATCGCTTAGCGCTTTGCATGTAGATTACTTCATTTGGGTGTACGTAAATTAGTAATTGTTCTTCCATGCAGGCATTAAGTTGGGAGACATCTTTTTTTTTTTTTTTTTTATATATATATATATTTTTTTTATACCATACTTAGTCACTGTGCACAGCTTTACTCTCTCTCTTCTGCTTTCTCCTCTCTACATACCCTGCATGTCTTTACTCTGTGTCGATGAGCTGTGGTCTTCTAGCGGTCTTAGCAGTTTTGTTGCTTCTTTTCCCTTGCTAGTGAACCTTAAATTGATTATTAGCTGCTCTTAAAAAGGCAAAAGTTTTAGTTCTTATGCTCTTTTTACTCTTGAATTGGTTCAAATTTGAAGCTTTAAGCCTGTTCAGTGAACTAAGAAAATGGACCTGTCTACATTATACAGATTCTGTAACATTGCTGTAACATCCCCTTGAACTCCATTATCTCTCCTATCAACTTAGACTATCCACGGTTGACTTGTATCCTTAGTTGCTTATACTTCCATTAATGGTCTCTTTGCAGCTTGTTGCTGCTAGTTGAATCTATTCTGGGGTGCATCGTCCCCATTGATGTTTCCAAGTAAAGATTTTCAACTTTTCAAGCATAGAGCAAATGCCATCACTAAGGATGAAGATGAAGTCAAGTGTGTGTTGTGTGAAAGAGAAAAACTGTCTACGTGTTTGTCACAAGTCAAATACAATATCCAAAAGGTCCCATGTCAAGACTTCTCAGATGGCAGATGATGCTGACACTTGCTGTCAGAGCTGCCCTGAAGGTAAGCGTCCTTTGAGTCCAATTGTGTACACAATTTTTTTTAATGAGCAAGTAATCAGAAATTCATTGAAATGCACCAAGGCCGACCTATATATAATTGTAAACTTCGGCACAAAGTGTCATTCTTATAACCTTTTTTTATTTTTTAGTTTAATTTAACCTTATATCATTCTATTTTGAAGACATAATCCCCTAGAGCTGGTTTACCATTGCAGCATGATTGATGAAAGCCACAAAATAATTCAACTGAACGAAATTTTGAGGCTTCTTGTAGGGGTAAAATCTTTATTAAGATAGAAATTTGGAGGAGAATAAGTTTGAAGTATGATGTAGTAGTTACTGCTGTTGATTGGTATTCTGTCTTTTAGTAGTGAAGCAGTGACTTTGGGATGGAGTTATGTATTATATTGTTGGTGTGCCTATCATAGTCTTGAAGAGATACTTAACTGACATGGCAGTTCTGTTTGACACCTCAAGGAAATATATATTTGTGCAGCTTGTGTAGGAAACTTTAGCTTCACACATTGAAATATTAGCTTGTGACCCATATTTGATGTGTGGCACATTATGTCCTTTGAGCTGAATAAATTATTTTTCGATAAACTTTGATATGTTTACGCAATGACTAGCAGAGAGGTTTTCTCTTGGCTATTACAATTTTGCTGACTTTCTTATGTCTCTCATAGTCTCATGTGTGTTCATAGACAAAGTTTTCATGACAGCATCAAGATATGTACATTACCATAATTCTTTTGAAGAGGCTTCCTCTCCTTGGCTACATTTCACTTGAATTAAACTATAATTAGAGTTAGAGATGTATCTTTCAAATTCATTGTATTATTATACTTCCTCAATTCCTATGTTTCTTTTAAATTGCATATTTTTTGTAATCAGTATGACCAAATACTAATATAAGCCTTAGCTGAACATTTAATTGCCCTCTTTTCTCATAATTACCCTCTCTCGTTGTCCTTCCCTCTCACCCTCCCCCCTGCATATTAACCTTGCCTCTCAGCCTTTCTGTCCATTGATGGTGTAACCTCCTAAGCCCTAACATGAGATTTGAAATTTGACCTGTATCCTATGTCTCTGCAACCCTTTCTCTGGTGGTACACCGATGACAATTACCAAGTTGAAGAAAAAGATACATCTCTGATGAGTCATAGTGAGAGAGTATTTAAGCTGATATGACCTAACTTTCTTCGACATTAATCTCCACAAAGAAAGACAAAGAGAGGGAGTATGGGAGCATATCTAGGTAATTATTTTGCAAATTCTGGTGAGTTGTGAGCCAAGAAGGATGAATTCGGTTAGTTATGGGCTATGTTTAACAAATTACAGACCTATGACTCTTTGGATTTTCTTTCTTCTGTTGATTAAACTTCAGGGAGTTGTTCGGTTGAGTTAAAAACAATGATAGGGGTGGGAGGTGGGGTTTGGCCTGTTGGGGTGAGGCCGGTTTAGGTGGACGAGAGAATTAAGGCTTGGCTGCTTGTGGTGGGTGGTGGGTACAAATTGTTTAGGAGAAGGTATTGCTTGTAATACTGTAAATGTCCTTGGGATGGGTGATTGCTGTTGTTAATTATGTCAGTCAAATGCCCCTTGCACTCTTTCTCTCTTCTACCCTAGAAAATGTGCAGTTTCTTTGATTGATATTTAATAATAACAGAAGTATAAACATTCACATGAAACGACATTTTTGTCTCTAAGTTCTACATGATATATTGAAGAATATTAAACTTCTTAAGATAATTTCTTCAAGTTTATATATCCTATATGTAGAACTTAGAATTTTGGATGTTTATTCTAGTAAATCAAATTATTTGGTAGCATCTAGGATGAGCTTAAGTAGTTGATTGCTTTTACCGATATTTTTTTTCTTACAACCGTGGAGATATGAAGCGAAACCTAGCTTGTAGATTTGCTAGTATTACTAGTAAACTGAAGTTCATATAATCCATGGTTGAAATTGGATTTAAAATTGTGATATATCACTCAACCATTGTGGGTTTGCGGTGCTTTATTGATCCCAAAAGAATAGATATACTACCACCGACAACAATATCCATAAACAAGGGGTACTGAGTATTGTTTGCAAAAGACTAAGGAGAAAATTGAAAAAGGAAAACAGATGACTATTGTAAGAGAGGACTGAACTTAGAATCACAGTAAATTCTCTATATTGAGCAAGGTTATCTAGTCTGTAGGCCAGGAGTCCTTATCTATTGGTGAAGTAACTCAAGTAAGTCAGTGAAGGTTTAAGTAGGGCTGGCATAAGATATTTGTGATGGTCTGACTTGAATGTAAATACATGTATACTTTTGATTGAGTAGGAACTTTTTTATTCATCAATATGTTTTCAATTCTTCAATTAGAAGTCTAGCTAATGCTTTTGTGATGGCAAGTGAAATAGTGATAAATAGTAATATGTGCAATTATTGAACTTGCCATCCAACTCTCAGCATATATATGATTTTGGTATCTATATTCTATATTTTAGTAGCTTGTTTATCTGTCTTTATAACCATTTTAGAAATTATATTTTAGGAAGATTTATAACGTATCTACCTGCTTCTGTTCTGCTAAAATCACCCTTAATTTTTAAATGTATTCCGAAATAATCGTGGTCAACTGGTCATCTATGTTTTATTTGTACAGTGTCTCCAAGCAGTGGATCAAATAATCAAGACACTGGAGCTACCAACTCCGATGAATGGCAAAGCTGTGAAGACATCTTCAAACAGCTAGCTACCTCTTTCAATGATTCTGCAGTGACTGAGGGAATGGTAAGTCATAGTAAATCTAATATACTAATCTTATCTTTTCTTGAAATAGTGCAATTATGTCATTGGTGGATCCAGGAAAATTTTGTAAAACCTTGAAATATTTAATTATATTTAAGTCTAGATATACAATGAAATCAAAATATTTTAGTCCAAAATCCCATTACAACCAAATAATTTGGGTTTGCAGTTGATGCACTTGCAATAATAAAAAAATGAAGAATTTTAAGGTAATTTAGAATAGGTTCATTAAGACATTAAGCAGTATTAACTCTTGTAAAATAGAGGTCAGGGGAACTTAGGATCTCAGCAAGGTAAGGGGAGAGTTTAGCAAAGCAATTTGTGCAGAGCTTTTCGACCACTGATCCATCTCTTTGTAATCACATCAGTTATGCACGCGTTTCTTTACAACTGTTTCAATTATTTTCTTTTAATTATTTGCGATTTTTTTTCTTAGTATGGTTCAGCTGAACCCATACTGGATCCGTTCCTGAATTATATGTTAACGTTGCTATAGATGCTGAAATATATAAATGCCACTTGCGCTAATTGGGCGTGGAGTATATGAGCTTGGTTTGTGAGTAGAGGTTTTTTACTTGTTTGTTTCAATTTCGGTTCTATTCAGCTAAATAATGTCAATAAGAATATGAAAATGTGGTACCAAGCTTTGCTATTTATAGCTTTCTTTGTGACCTTGTTAGATTGTTGTAGACTGATTTTTTCTGGTTTGTATATTTTAATGAATAAGAGGAAATTATAAGATGAAAGCTTGGAAATTTGATTGATAATGGCAAAAGAAGTTGCAATATGATAAAGTTAATAGCTTGAAGGTATTACTCTCTTGATAACTTTAGGTTATCACTCTCTCTTAATAACTTGAGTTTACCATTCTCTCTCATTCCACATTACAAATCTCATGCCCTCTACTGCTATACTACTACTCCTTATATAATCAAGCAAGCTACAACTACACTAGAAAACTAGATAACCTAATATTAATTAACTGTCACTATTCTACAAAGTAGCAAACCAGCAGGCTTTTGTTACTCCTCTTAGTGTTTCATTGATGAGTTTTGTCCAATAGTGCCTTGCTGTCCTCTGCTTCCCATTACACTTAGGTGGAAGCCCCATTGAGTCTATCACATAGATTCTTTAATTACTTTCTATGATCTATAGGCTGAATTCAATTTTAAACTGGGAGAAGCATGCTTAGATCGAAGAACTGTGGTTGATGTCGATTAAATTTGTGGATCTTGTTGAATGGAAGTTTATGCAAGAGATACTTTACCATACATGTGGGATAGAATTATACTCTAATAATAAAGATGCACTTTAAAATATATAGATTCTGCCCTGTTGCAATGATTAAATTCCTGATTGCCCTTATCTTTTGGAAATCGTGGGTCGTGGGTCAATGCTTGGAAATAGCTTCTTAAAGAAAGTGGCTGAAATTTTTTGTATGTTTTGACTTCCAATGGATGTTGGTGACCTGGTGTAACTTGTATGCCTTTTAACTTTGATTACCCTCTTTCACAACTTGTAAGATTTGGCATAAATCTCTTCTGTATTGATGTCCAGACATTCATTTTTGGTTAATAGATTTTTTAATTTAATCTCCATATCATTAGGTTTATAATTCTGCATGTAGGGACTGTTGGATCAACACTTCAGTCAGATACCCATATCTTAGACGAAACCATTGTATAAACAGTGATTCAGAATGCTTATCTAACCAGATTCACTGTGATATGAATTGAGAAAGCAACATTTTGATGTCTTTTACATTTACAAGGCTAAGCCTTGTTAATCTTTGTTTGACGCTTTTTTTTAGTCCTTGTGACTTTCATTTGTTCCTAATGTGCGTTTATCCAATCTGGGCCATCATTTTTAATATATGCTAGTGTATACGTGATTCTAATAGTATGGTTCCCGTAAATGTGATTTCCTTGCAACTGATTTGGTCTTGTTATAGATGTTCATGAATATATGATTTTCAATGCAGGAATTACCCCAGTCTCATGCTCCACAAATTTTGGAACAATTTTTTCCCCCACTTTCTATCAATTCGATGTTCGGGATATACCTAATTCTTACTATAACGCAGGTACAAGTTTACTCCTTACCGTATTTGCTGAGAAATTTTATTATGATGCAGGCTGCTGAAATGTGATCCCCTTTCGCCGTTTGTATTCTAGTCCTTACTTTCACTCATCTGATCAATTCTTTATATATGACAGTTGTGTGAGCAATATGACTACTGATCTAGTTTACAGAACATAGAAAAGGGTTTTTTAAGAACAACTAACAATAATTGGACTCTTTTTGCTAAACTGATTCACTGGATAGGAGAATGACCAGTGAAGCATAAAGGCAAACTGAATATCTAGGATTTTTTCAAAAAAAGCTTTTGTCTGACAACCATAGTTATGCTTTTGTCTGTGGCTCAAAGAATTAGACTTTGTTAGTTTGGTATTGAAGTTAATCAGCTAGGTCGCTTGATTCAATGATGCATAGGTGACCTCTGCACGATCTTATTCATATTTTGCTCTAGAATCTATAGTTGTTGAATGCTCAAGGTCTACTGTTCTTTTGTACAGGAGTCAATATAGATTCAGATCCATTTCAATTTAGCATGGCAGAAGAAAGTGATGGTAATAGTGGAAGTTCATCTGACTATCGAACTTGCAACATTTCAGATTTCTACATTTCGGACATGATTCTTGCAGGTTCAACATTTGATGGGAGTTTCATGTGTGATAACATTGCTGAGAAGCTCACAATTCCTGCGCATGAGGTTGCAGACTCTAATGTCTTCTTTGATGGTACTGAACGACACATGACTTTGCCCTTACTTAGTGATTCTGCGGAATTGAGCGAAATACTCCATTCACGACCATCTGAAGAAGCAAAAATGGACTCTGATGATTCAAGCTTTTTGTTAGCTATTCATCAGATTCGTCCTGGTGAACAAGAAGCAGATCATAGATCTTGTGATGATTCCGATGAGGCACAGTATTTTGATCCTCATTCATTCATTAGAAACTTGCCTGACTTATCAGAGGTTGTGCCTAGTACTCGGCCTACTATTTTGCCAAAAGAATCATGGGAAAAAAAGCCCGTTACTTTGGTTCTTGATTTAGACGGTGAGTTTCTTTGTTTTCAATGTGCCAAATTCTTGTAATTCATAATACATATACTACCTTCGTGACATTTTGTGCAAGTTTTAGGTATTACTTGTGAGATACAAAAAATTCAAAAGTTGTACATAATATGTAACGGTGGTAGTACATGAATTTATTTTACCTGTTATATTCTGAAATATTTGATTAGTTAGAAGTGGCTTTAATCATGGAAATGAGTGGGGAACTTGTTTGATTTTCGAGCTTAGCTGAATTTGGTTTTCTGGCTTTGCAAAATAAATGGACTGTAGACTTGGTAAAGGAAATAGTTTACTCTTGGCTTTAAGCTGAACTTGATTTTTTGGCTTTGCAAGATAAATGGAGTGTAAACTTTTTAATGTTTATTGTTAATCCTGACACGTGTACATATATGACTACTAAGTGTAAGGTTGTGTACTTCCTAGTCGTTCTAGACCTCCCCAGATCCCTGCCGCAGTGGAATTAATCATATATCTTCTTGTGCCAATGAGCGCGTCCCTCTTGCTTAGAGTTATTCGATTCAAATAACACTATTTCTAAACTTTAAAGTTCACTTCAGTAAATTGTTAACAATGAATTCCATTTTTGCAGAAACCCTTGTCCATAGTACATTGGATCATTGTGAGGATGCAGATTTTACCTTTACAGTTTTCTTCAACATGAAAGCTCATACTGTGTATGTGAAAGAAAGGCCTCACCTTCGGTCTTTCTTGAAGAAAGTGGCAGAGATGTTTGAAATTATTGTTTTCACTGCTAGTCAAAGTATATATGCAGAACAACTTTTGGATATACTGGATCCTGATGGGAAGCTCATCTCTGGTCGAGTTTATCGGGAATCATGCATTTTCTCCGACGGAAGCTATACTAAAGACTTGACAGTGTTAGGTCTTGACCTTGCTAAGGTTATGATTGTAGATAACTCTCCTCAGGTATTTTATGGACCCAATTCTCCTATCAGTTCTGTTGTGTGAGACCATATCCTGCTGTCCTGCCCCTTATTTCTCCATTAATCTTTGCTGTTTTTGCTTGATTATTTGTCTTTTCTTCCAGTTCATATTTGTATTGCTTAAATCCTGTATGGTGGGAATTTATCTGGAAGTCATACAGTAGTTATTTTATCTTTTATTTATTTATATTTTTCGATGAGGAAAAAAGAGGGGGGGGGGGGGTGGTGGTTAACCATTGTATTGAATGGCTGTGCTGTTAATCAAGCCTTATGACCTAGATTTGAAGTAGCCTCTCACCTTTCAATAAGTTAAGGCATCAACTTGTGCTTTTGAAATAGTAGACTGGGGCAAATTTAAAATTGGTTTATGCTGAAGAATGAGAAACCAGTAACTTGGTTAAGTAGCTTGACCGTAACCAAGTAATGTTTGTGTTTTGACACTATCTCTGTTGTGCTGTCAGGTTTTCAGGTTACAAGTAAATAATGGAATTCCAATAAAGAGCTGGTTTGATGACCCATCAGACAACGAGCTTATGACATTAGTTCCTTTCCTGGAGACCTTGGCTGACGTCAATGATGTGCGCCCTCTTATTGCAAAGAGATTCGGTAACAAGGAATAAAATCCCCTTGTTCTCTCTTTATATTTGAGTTCATCGCTGATTAACTCTTTCATCAACCATTTTTGCAAAAGCAAGCACCAGTCAGATGCTCCATTCTCATTTATCTTTCTTGCTATAATTTCGTAAAGTAATTAGGTTTATGCTTGAGGTAGGTTTACTGTCTGTCATTCCTTTCTTCTCCTGGCTAACAACCTGTGTTATATGATTGATTCCCAAGGTAGTTCCAGGAACTCTTTTTAATTATGTTCTTGTACAGATAAGGATGCTATTATTTTGCTTGAATTTGTAAATAATTTGGAAGTATTCTATAGTCCTTTATGAACCATTAAAAATCATTGATAGAAATGCCTAAAGATGATTTTTTTGGGTATGATTGAAATTAAATCAAACATGGATATCATTTTGATTCAAAATAGTGATGAAATGGTGGCTCAAATGGTCATATGTATTTGTTTTAATTTCAATAATAAGGCAGCACAATATATTGAAGTGGTCTTTGCTTGGAAAATATTTGAACATAGCTTCCCTCCATTAACCTTTGGGATGCAGTTTTGTTTATGTACATGCCCATTCCCACCATCCATTAGTCTTGCCAAAAGAAGGGGGCGGGGGGGGGGGGGGGAGTTGAAATAATGTAAGTAAAATGTAGGCTAAAGATACATGGAAGAACATAGAGAGCGCACAACACTAGTCTTGCCAAAAAAAAAAAAAGAAAAGAAAAAAAAAAAGGAAAGAAAAAAAGAAAAAAAACAAAAATAAGGAAAAAAAGAAGAAGAAGAAGAGAGGGAGATAAAATAATGAAAGTAAATTGGAGGCTAAAAATACTTGGAAGAACATAGAGAAAGCATAAAGATGGGGAAACTGTATTTAGCTTATCACATTGTTCCTATGAATTTTGAGTTTCCATCTTTCTATTTGCGAACTTTTCTCTTGTGCTTTTTTATTTTATGAATCACTCTCCCTTTGGGGGGGGGGGGGGAAGGTGTTGGCGAAGTGTTCCTGTATGCACAATAAGCACGGATAATCTGCAACTGTAAATACAGATTTTTTGACATACAACTGTATAAGAGCACCAGTTTGGATTATGTTTATTGACTTAAGATTAGCACACATAGACATAAAAGAAGCGTTAAGAAATTATTCATTGACAAGTTAACCCCTTTATGAACTTATGATATGACAAGTGACAAAATTTATCCTTGAGAGTAGCTTCTTGTCTACATAAGTTATTGAAACATGATCATGATGGCATTATGGTGATAAAATTACCTGGGGTAAGGATAGAATCATGCAGTCAGGCTTTCTTGCTAACTTGTGTGCATAGAGGAGGCACACTTCTTAATGTAAGTAGCCCTTTTAAGCCTTAAAAGTGGCCTTTTTTTTAGGTGGGCAAAGGTAGGGATGAAAACTCTTCCTTACTCAGACCATGGTATATGGGTGAGGTTCATGTTATTCTTTGAAATAGTAGTTCCTAGCGGTGATTGTCAGAGGCTTGGTGTCCCTATAGCAATATGTTTCCTTATACAGTCAGGAGGTGGCTCTTGTTTACAAATCTAATCCCTTACGGGGACTTAAGATGTTGCTCTTGTTTGATTGTGCTCTTTATACTGCTCAAATCCATGCCTTTAGCCATGAAAGTACTGCTTGAACCAAGTCTGTCAAAACTATGTCCTCAATTACGCCCTATGTAGTTGTGTTGATATGTGGTGGCTTATTCTTTGTTAGGGTGTTAATGTTAGAGAGATGGTGGGTATCATCGTGAGAATAATTAGATAAAAGATGTAAAGTTGAGGTCTCTGTCCTCAAATCCCTTGTCAGCACCTCTTTTTTAGGTGTACAAGAATTTTGATTGGTACAGCACTACACAGCTGTTGAAAGGCTCTGGATTTTCCAAGAAAAACAAGATGTACCTGCTACTGATGCTCTATGCTCATATATATTATGTAAGATTTCTTGTTATTGTTACACTGTCTATATGATCTATGGTCATTCTCCTCTGTGTGATCTGGTGACTGCATGCTTCCTTTATCTGTACTATTGTCTTTTCTATGTGTAGGATCAGAGGCCTAATGGCCAGTGCAGTTGTAGTAATATTAACACACTGGTGAGTTTACAAGTTCAGCCTTAGCCTAATAAAAGTTGGCAGGTACAACATTGAAATCATTTGAGATGCTATCTTAAATGTTTATAACTGCAGTATGAGTTTACCAACCCTGTGCTTGCTTTCCTGGCTTAAGAGAATGGATGTTAGGTCTCTAACTCTATATAATCTGTAATTTTTATTTTATTATTTTATTTTATTTCAACATCAGGACTTGTATCTGACTCAATTTTTCCTGGTTTACCTTTTGTGTTTGCTACTATGCCTTTCTGTTTCCTTGAGAAGTTTCTTTAAATGCTGTGATTGTGATCACTAGGTTCAATGAGGTAAATTTGGCCTGCCTAGTAGACCTTGATGGTTGGAGTTGTAGTCTCTATATATGCCTACAGTCATGATGATATATAACTTGGGACATGCTGTTGAAGAGTTAAGGGCTGACAGAAGAATTCTAGAGAGTGAATTTTCTGGATATGGTTTACCTTTTTTGAGTTGCTTTATTAGGATAATATATGGCATGTCATAGAATGTGGTCATGTAGGAATGAACCCTTGGAAATTGAATTTCCTAGACCCTATCTTATAGTTTTTTTCTATAAAAATGTGGAACAATATAATTGAGGTATCAGGTGAGGAATTCCATACCCTTGTTGGATTTATGAGTGTTCACAGTTACGACGTCAAAAGTAACAGAACTAATATATGCACATTGAGGGAGTGCTCACTGGATGTTTAATGAACGCTTGTTTGCAGTTCAGCCCTGATTATTATTTTGGAAGAGGAGGGGGGGGGGGGGGGGGGGGGGGGGGGAGGGAGAGAGAGAGAGAGAGAGAGAGAGAGAGATGCTGATTAAGGGTAACAGCTTTTTGCTGTTGAAGAAGAGTTGAAAGTTCCTGGATATCATTGTTATATCTGCTGATTGCAGTGCTTTCCTGAGTAGAGTAGAGTGTTTTAATGACAAGAATGCTGTTATATGAACCAATATTAGGTCAGTTATACCAAAAAGTCCCATGTCTCTAATGAATTTATCTTAGGTTGTCAACTTGTTGTGATGAGACTGACATTTTTACTGGTCTTCTTTTCTTGATGAAGATTCATGAGAGACAGGCCTGTTCTTAGTAGCAGAAGCCAACTGATCTGTAAGTTAAAAAGATTTGGCAGAGCCTAAATTTCATAGTTTACTAGCTTGCATGCCTTATTGCAGGTTTATATAGGGATGTTAATGGACTGGCTGCTTATGCAAATACTACCTTACTAGGTACGCCAAGTTCAAATTTCTGTCATTTCTGCTGACTCCTCACAATGCTGATGGTTGTTAGCATTTTGTTATGCTTCCCTGCTATTTTGTCTTGTTTTACTTTTAATATTGCTCAATCCAGAAAGAAACCTTGAGATGCTACAAAGTCTTTACAACCTTTCGTCTTTATTGCGATTGCCCAATTGTGGGCTGCAATTCCTGCGGCCAACAGGATATTGTAATGTAGATTACAGAAGTTACTACTCTTTTTTTGATGGGAAATTCTTTAAAATTATGGTTATATAAGTGTTTTTATTCAGTTCTGTAATTGGACATAAGGCTTATTCACAAGCTTCTCATCTCGGTTAGTTGATCTAAATGCTTTTCTGTATTTTTATGTTCTAGCCAAATGTATAATTCGCTTGGCTTAGTTATTTTATTATACGCAGGTGGTTCTTTCCATATTTTATATTCATTTTTATTTTGTGCATGCTCGAGAATTGTTGATCACGTGAGACAATATATTGTTCGGTTCTGTAATGATTCTTGTAATCTCTTTCACCATTTTAGGTATGTGGCAAACTTACAAGAACAAGCCCTAAACTTTGCCAAAATTGCATATAAAGTATCGAACTTTGTAAAGTTGCAATTAGGGCACTCAAACAAGTAATCAGGCCAAATTACCTGTTTCAACCATTTAACCAAGCCAAAAGAAACAAAAAATTATGACATACTAAATTTTGCATCTTAATTGTTAATGGAGTTAACATAAAAGTTGGGTCTTAAACTCTTCCTCTTTATCCTCCATTAAAGCAGTTTGAAAGCTTTCTTTCCATACGCAAAGATGTATATACTTTTAGTGATCAAACAAGAACAATCAACAAACATGCTTAACGTGAAAACCAGCTTTTATGATTCAAGTAGGAAGAGAGTACAGTATAATATGATGAAACTGCAAGCATCTCTATGGGAATGAGATCATGCATAAGGGACTTGGGAGCAAAATAAAAAATGTCTCCCACAATAGTTAGGAGATTGCTAAAAGGGAAAATACTTTACCCTCGTACAAATTCACTACTCCTCCGTCTACAAGATCTAAACAAAATTGCTAGGTTAGAGTGGGTGTTGAGGTTGCTTATCGATGACACTAGGAAAGACGAGGAGTATTCCCCTATGTATGGCATGTGCATTTAGATGAGACATGAATTTATTTAACTAGAAAATCATAAAGGGCCTATTTTGCGAATTTGAATTAGGGACATGCTGTAACGTCCAACAAATTCATCCCAATGTTTATAGCAGTAGTAGCAAGGCCACACTTTAACTTAGAAGGGGAATGCATATATGATGGGATAATAGTCATTTTTCCATTCATGTACACACAAGAACCAAATAGGAATTCAAAGGGTCGCACGTAGTGGCGGAGTCAGAAATTTCCATCCTGGCAGACAAATAAACATTGATAGTTTGACAAAAATGTTGAGAAAAGAAAAAAATCAATACTTGAACACATAATTAATTAAATAACTAGTATGTAGGTCGGGAGATGCCTCGGGGTTATTTTCAACACTTGTAATTGAATAGATAGGTTCATATTACTGTATTTATTGACTAATTATATAAACATGTCCTTTGTGTACAATTTATAATATAATGAAAATAAAGGCATATATTATCAAAATAATTAAATAACTAAAACTAGTTTATAACAATAGTTAATTTTTCTTGTATGCATTACCTCATCGATCAATGAGCATTATTAGCATATAATAGAATCGTTTTTTTTTTTTTTTTTAAAGAATCGCAGTCATTAAATGTTCAGATTTTTAGTCCATATACTTTGTATATATATTTATGAGTCGAGTACAAAAGCATGATTAATCAATAGATGAGATGGTAAGACTTCGAATGCATATTTTTGTGGTTGTGAGTTCAAATCTCATGATAGACATTTTTCATTAGAATATGCTCATAGTTGAAAGATGACATGGCGAGGGTGCCACGTGGCACATAAATGTTTTTAGGAACAATGTTTAATATATAAGTATAGAAGTATAGATTAAAGTTTTACAAAATCCAAAATACTTAATACAGAAATCTAACATCATATACTAATTATTCCTCCTGTACATTATTAGTATTTGAATAGTGATGGGTCTATAAATATTTAGTTATTATAGGTTAGGATTTTTGACGAATTCCAACATAAGATAATATAGGTAATTAAATGCACTTATCACCTATAATATTATTAAAACACAAAGGGACAACATGGTAACGCCATGTGTCACCGTTGCATCAATATGATTTGGCGCCACATCATCGCTATGTGTCACCCTATGTGCCATCACTCTAAAACTTTTCAAATGTGTAACCTTCGTATTTAATTTTCTCAAGAATCAATATGATTTGATGTCACATC